TTGTAAAAGGCATTTTTTTCTCAATGATACAAATTTATTTTCTTTTTATATTAATGGAATATTTACATTTACTTATGAAATGACTTATTAACACTACTACGGACTATATTATAATAGGTTCAGTGTTGGTCATGGAGACTTTGGTTACAACACTAACCATTTTTTCTTGGTGTAAATGGCTTATGCACACCCGCCCACTGAAAACTGGTGAGCAGATATGAGGCCTACCCACTAGACTAAAAGTTAAATTCCCCTTGTCGATGACCTGACTTAAACTCCCACGTGCCTCTTCAACTCAGGTAGTAGGCGGCGATTGAGAAATGTTATTGCCATTGTCTAATTCACCGCGTTTTCGCAAAATCCCTAGGATTTTAGCAAAAAATCCTACGACATTTATACTACCAGGTATTATTGACGTGACAACGTCTTATAATTCGATGGAGCCGGTTGCACGCACGAAAAAACATGACTCATGCGTCGTTACCTCGATCTGAGGCGTTCTATTTAAGGCTTGAAGTGCAAGCGAGAGCGCGCAACGAGTGACAAGAGGCACAATCGGCCTCTGCGTTCGGCGGCGTTCGACATCTGTCTCTCTCCTACTTGAGTGAGCGATGCGTCCGCGTAGACAGCTGCTATACAACACTTACATGTTTTCGTCAAGTATGAAGTGCAGTGAAAAGTGAATGTGGTGTCAATTGTTTATAGCAACGATAATTGCGGCGTAAAAGGACATGATTCTTTCGATATTAAATATATGTTCAGTGATATATTGTCGAATGTTCGTGCTTTCATCAATAAAATAAATAGCATCGGTCCGCTAGTGCAGCGATTGTAGGTTATGCTATAATTGACAAAACTATAAAAATATGTTAACAGAACTATTTCGTGACATTTAATTAATATTGAATACAACTATGTACATTGTAAAAAAACATTGTCACGTTCAACTATCGTCAGTAAACCGACTTTACAGACAACCGATTTTTTTTTCGTTGGTATCGATAGTCACCAAAAACGCAATTTAACACCAAAAGAATTCGTATAACTAAAAACCATTTTTAGGCAACTAAGTAGTTAGGAAGCACACTAACAACTAAAAAGCACACTAACAACGAGACTAATCCATTTGTCTGAAATGTTTCGTATTGTACGTTGCCTCATTAAGCCGTTGTGTCTAAAAGTCAACACAGCAGTTTGCAAAGCGAAACTGCACAGCGTATTAAATTTGTTTTCAGTTCAAAAGCTGTTCAGTAAATGCATACGACCCAAAAATCATGCAACTTTGTTGGACGAAACAACATCAGACGAACTTTCAGTTAAAATTAACGTAATGTCGCAATTACATTTAGTCGAATACGGACTGTATTCGGGTGTATGAAAGATATTACTCGAATTCGGGCACCTGAAGCTATATTTACACTGGATTAGTGGCTGGAAGACGATGTCGGGTAAACAAAAGGAAATCTACTCAACTCCATTCATTTACATTTAGTCATTTACCCGAATTCCATTGGCTCTCGTATTCGAGCTAACGACCAAGTGTAATCGCGGCATGATACTGCAGTTTTTCTGTCCTCAAAAAATATATTCTGACATTTCGTACCGCTAGCTGCTCAGATTAGCAGTTTTAGTGTTTTTTTTCAGCAAATGCTCGAATACGAACCTCATATAAAATTTTGATAACACAAATTATTAAGCCGAAGTCACTTTTACGTATAAGTTACGGTAAACATTTAAGCAACTTTGTTTAAGATACATGGAAACAAAAAAAAATAAAGCATCTGATACTAAAATCTACAGTTGTTTTTTGAGATAATGGTATTTTTCTGAAACTTATAAACAACACATCGCTTTCATTTCCGGACCTTTATTTTAATGTCTGGGAAATGCCTTACGCATCCTTAAGAAGGTATTTAGGACTCCTTCCTGCTCATTTCAGCTAGCCTTGGGGCTCGATGAAATAAGCAGGGCCCTACCTATGTTCTGAACAGGGCCAGTTAAAACCAGATAATACTCCTGCATTATAAGGACCGCAGTTCCCCCAATGCGGGTCAGGAGTGCGGATGTGGTCATGGCACCCGATTTACAACTGGCTATGTTTCATTTCCGGACTTATCAAAGTCAAATGTCGCTTTGAGAAAACTGACATAAACATTTCTCAAAGATTGAGAATCATAGTTTTTTTTGTAATACCACTGTACTGTTACTTAATGAGATGGTTTGCATTTTCAATTTAATTATAGCTCAGTCGTTTTACAAAGAGACTCGATGATATTTTTTACCGTGACGCCTTATTTAACGAGCTCTCGTATCTAGAGCAAACGGGGGAAAACCGGAACGGAAGATGCACTGAATGGAACTGGTCAATTAACGCGAGCCATGATGAAAGAATACCACAAAGGAAAAATAAAAGGGGCATAAAGAAGTTTTATACTGCGACGAGGAACCACATTATGGTTTGAAATTTAGAGGCACCGGCGCTGTTGATGAGAGATTGTTAAAATAGGTTACAGATAAGAATAATAATAATTATTATTGTGCGTGAGTCATAGCCACCATGGCTCACGCACAATGGTCCATTTTAAGAAATAAGTACCGAAACTTTAACCCATAACATTAGAAGTTTAGAGGTAAAATAAGGGCGTAACGGATTTCATGTTCAATTTGGAGCGACCTTCTGGGGAAGTACCTTAGCTTGAAAAATATCACAGTAAAAATAATTGGTGCTGTCTGTTGATAATGTTCTAGAGAGTTTCATGGGATACGGAATTGGTTTGGGACCCTCTCATGGGACAGGGGATTGGTTTGGTTTAGGTGAAGATGTAGAAATGGCATATTAGGGATAATGACTGTGTTAAATAAACGTTATTCTATTTAGTCTGTCAGTAAGATTACAAAAAAAACTTTGATCAATGAACCAAAAATTCTCCTCCCACCTCACTTCGTGAGTGTCGCGTGTCGTCACTTCTAAGTAAAAACAGTACCAAGACGTGACGTCATGCGACATTTCAAATTAATGTATCTCTGTAATCTTTTGATTATGTGCAAAAAGAAAAATAATATGGGTTCAATACTTTTTAATAATATATCTCATAGACGAAGAAAAAACAGTAAGTCATCATTCCATTTCTCTGCCCCCAACTACCTTCGCGTCAGCATAACGCATGGGTTACCACAGTGGAATCCCATAAGCTTCCTCACCGATAATGTGTAGTAACATTAGAGTGTTATTTTTTTAAGAGAGGAATAGCTAACCCGACACTACACCAAGGACATCCCAGATGTCAGCCTATACGAGATCAGAATGGCTCTCAAGCGGCTTAAAAACAGTAAAGCACCGGGCGATGACGGAATCACTACGGACCTTCTGAAGGCGGGCGGTAAGCCGGTCCTCGTGGCCCTTCAGAAGCTATTCGACTCTGTCATCCTCGCGGGCATTGTTCCAGAGCCGTGGATCAGGGGCGTGGTGGTATTATTCTTCAAGAAAGGCGGTAAAACCCGCTTGAAAAACTATCGACCTATCTCGCTCTTGAGCCACGTCTATAAGTTGTTTTTGAGAGTCATTACAAATCGACTTTCGCGCAGGTTCGACGACTTCCAGCCTCCCGAACAAGCCGGTTTCCGAAAGGGCTTTAGTACCATGGACCACATACATACGCTGCGTCAGATCATACAGAAGACCGAGGAGTATAATCGGCCTCTGTGTCTAGCGTATGTGGACTATGAGAAGGCATTCGATTTGGTCGAGACTTGGGCGGTGCTGCAGTCCCTCCAGCGGTGCCAAATTGACTATCGATATATCGAAGTGTTGAATTGTTTGTATAGAAACGCCACTATGTCAGTCCAAATCCAGGAGAGAAGTACGAAACCGATTCCATTGCAGGAGGGTGTCAGACAGGGGAACGTAATTTCCCCGAAACTGTTCACCGCTGCATTGGAAGACGTCTTCAAGATTCTGGATTGGACCGAACTCGGCATCAACATCAACGGCAAATACATCACTCACCTTCGATTTGCAGACGATATCGTGGTTATGGCAGAATCCCTGGAGGCCTTGGCACAATGCTCAATGACCTCAGCAGAGTTTCCCAACGGGTTGGTTTAAGGATGAACATGGATAAAACCAAGGTCATGTTCAATGTCAATGTCACTCCAGCACTAGTATCTGCTGGGAATGCGATTCTCGGAGTTGTCGATCATTACGACTACCTAGGACAAACAGTCCAGTTGGGCAAATCCAACTTCGAGAAAGAGATTAACCGACGAAACCAACTCGGATGGGCAGCGTTCGAGAAGCTTAGGCACATCCTCACGGCCAAAATTGCCCAGTGCCTGAAAGCGGTTTTTCCGCTCGAATTGGAGCACCCGTCTAGGGAAGTAACCTCCAACTTACATAAGACCACAGTGAAATAACACTAGCTTTTGGTGGTTTTGGGTTTATTCCGGTGCGGGGTAGGGAATTGGGTCTGGGTAGACAACGGCGCGAGTGATGATATTATTTGTATTACAAGCGTTTGTAGGCTTTGCTGGCTGCTTACCACCAGAAAGGCCATACACTTCTTTGCCACCCTTTTAACATTAAAATGCAGTTATGTGTTTTTGTTTTTTAAGCATTTAACTGCTAGATGTTTAAATCGAAAGAAAAGTATACTAGAAAACATTAAACATAAAAGTAAACATACAAGTACATAAGAGTAGATATTATGGGCTACCTACAATGCGAAGGGATGGCGCTGCCTTGCAGCCTAAGGCTAGAGAAAATCCGGCAGGGCCGTCAGGGCTGCGGTAGCATAACGGTCAGTACATTCGCCCGGATAGCGAAAGGTGCGGGTTCGAGTCCCGTCTGCTGCCTGGTCCGCGTGGTTTTTTTCTAAAAAATTTTCTTTAGATAGAAATACAGTCTTCTGTAAGAAAGGCGGTGGCAGTAAATTCGCTATATCCTATTACGCTGCAGCCTTTAGCTTCAAAAAATTGTCTTACAAATTATATTTCTTTCCCAGGGTTTAGAGCTCAAGGGCCAGATGGTGTTTTGTTCAGAGTCAGATTCCCTCCTGTTTGTCGGATCTCCGTTCCTGGACGGACTCGAGGGACTGACAGGAAGGGGACTGTTTATATCCGACATCCCGCTGCATGATGCTACCAGAGACGTGATCTTGGTCGGGGAACAGGCGAGAGCGCAAGTAATTACATACAATAATAATAAATTTAAATGTGTAACGTTCAACAATCCCTGTTCAAGTTTCCTTGTTTTACTCATGTGAATTGGACGTTTTTTTCCTGATTGTAATAAAAATAAAATTACTTTATTATTATAATTAGGAAAAAAATTAGTAATACGTTGGTATTCGTTACAAAAAATCGATTATTACGGTTTTTTTTTCGTCACTGATTATAAATTTCTTTTCGTTAACTAAAAATAAACTGTGCCTACACAAAAGTTTGAAATCCTTTTACTTGTCATCTGTTTTTGCGAATGTAAAAAAATGCTTAAGAAATTTATCAATATATTTTGAATCTGAATTCATCAATCAAAAGTGAGAATAGAATTAAAGAAACAGATTTTCAATAAGATTCAGTGCCAGATTTCCTTTTAGAATAGAAGATGCCCTTCCGATATAAAATATTCAATCTCCTCAATTTAGTTAATCTTCAAAAATTTTTTATACAGCCTTTTTTTAAATATCTCGTTATCTAAAAATTTGAATTTTCGATATTAGAAAGGAAAGCCGTAGCTTTGCAAATACCAATTTCCAATGTTAGATTTCTCGAAGAGCAGCTTAATATGATTCAACCCAAACCATTTTCATATAAAAATATTTCAAATTCTTCGAATTCACAATATCGATATAATCCCTCTTCCAACGTTTTAACTCGGCGATTGTTATAAATCTCAAAGCTTGGCTAGAAAGTTGAAAACATATCGACCCTTCCAGGATGAAACGTCGTAAAAGCCATTTTACCCAAAATCTGTTTTTAACGGTTTCTTTATCAGAATCGCGAGCTCTATCGATCTGTATATTTAAAATGTTCAAATTCGCGAAAAAATGTCTTTTACAACACGCTCCAATTAATGCCCTAAACCCATTTTTCTTCTTGTAAAATGTCATAATGAGCAATTTTGGAAATACTTTTTTCAAATTTATGTAGTAAGAGACATATTTTCTCATTCCACGGTCAATACAACATATATAATACAGTACTGGAAAATAATACTATTGAAAATTTTGTAGTAAAAGACACGATACTACTAACAATTTTGATGTAGACATACTAGGGACTTCGGAAAAGGCTTCGATTAATCACAGTTTTTTTTATTACAAGGAGTGAAAAAATAAAGGATGTAAGTTGATAGAAGAAACCAATATTCTATGTAAACGAAGTTCTGGACGTTACTTAGACGTAAATACGGCTTGTTGGCTTTAGTTGTGGGCCCCAAAATTCGTGTTTTCAATAGCAGTGTCGTGTTGAATTGTTTACCTAGGACAGTAGGTTCTCTCTCTCGCTGCCGAGCATGGTCGAGGCTATGCACAGTAGTGAGACGGCTTGGAAGGAGTCGCCTCTCTCTGTGATGACGTCATCTCAAAGTAGGAGGAGGCCGAGATGGGACAAGAGGACAATCCTCTGGCCGTCCCCTGCCACCGCAAAAGAACAGGCACGGGAAGGCGAAGGTGCGCCCTGGCTGCGCACGTGCAGTGACCCTATCTAATTGAATCACTTGCTGCCCGGCATGGCGTTAGCCGTGCCAGCCACCGATGGCTTCCGTGGCGCCAGCTATCTTTTGTACCTAACCTACATGAGAGGGCCGCGGAAGGGTCTGCGAGGGGAACTGCGCAGTCCTTCCGCAGCAGACGGGAAGCGGTGCGGTGGGCAATAGGCCGCGCACTTAGTTGCATTTACTTCACTAAATTAAACTTTATTCTTATTACAATTGTCTTTTAATTCAAAAATCCCTTTAATGAAACAATTTATGAAGTCTTATACAACTTCAAGGAAAAAAGATTACATTTGCCAAGCAGAAATAAAATGTCGTAGAAACCATTTACAACTTATTTTTTTGTAGTAAAAGCCATGCCATCTCTGGAACTAATGAATGTAGGCTATTCCGAGTTTCTTATTAGTAAGCAACCCGAAAACCTAAGCTTAATGAGTTATAGTGGTTTATTATAAATTAAGCAAATCAACAAGTATACGGGAAACAAACTTCACCGTTTTTGTTTTTTGGCCGTATTGAAAAATATCGTTTTGGCTTTTACTACGTTTCATCCTGGAAGGGTCGATATTGTGCGAGTATATTTCCTGGGCGTTGCGAACTTTGTATGACGTAATGTATCGTAAAAGAGGGAATTTCACAAGTTTATTTAGAAAATCAGACTTGGTTTGTGCACAAAGCCTTTCGCAGGCGTGTCTTCGGGATGTTTAAAGACAAAGAATTTGCTTCGGTAACATCTACCGCAAGTCGTAAATACGAGAGAGAGCAACAATGTTTAAGCTGCACTACAAAGTGAAGTCTTATCAAGCAAGAATGCAATCTGTGTGTTTCTCTTTGTTGAGGTTTAGCTTCATACAAAATTTTAAGTATGTTATGGATTTGATTCTGGTATAATCCTCGAAACTTTAATCCAAGATAGCAGTATCTCCTCTTAATTTTTATAGAACATGATAAGGATAGGATGCTGTTCATTTAAGGTTTAGATAATTTGGTCAGATTTTAAGTTTGTAAATAAAAGTAAATCGAAAATGAACTTTCTTAATATTGCCAAAGATATTTTTAACTGGTCTGAGTATAATATTACTTAAAAAACCGGCTAACTGCGGGTCGGACTCGCGCTCGGAGGGTTCCTATTACTATTGTCTGTACAACATAAGGCATTATAATAGTATTATAATATCGAGCAACAAACGGCAAAAAATCACGTCTGGTGTACTGGAGACCCCTTAAATATTTATTTTATGTTCATAATTTATTTTTAAAGTTAATACGACTAAATATTCGGTGAATATTTCAAGCACATACCTGCTGCCTTTAGTAATATAAAGCAAAGAACGGCAAAAAAATCCTGTATAAGAGCTCCCCCTTAAATACTTATTTTATTCTATTTTTAGTATTTGTTGTTATAAAGGCAACCGAAATACATTATCTGTGAAAAAATCAACTATCTAGCTATCACGGTTCATGAGATACAGCCTGGTGACAGACAGACAGACGGACAGTGGATTCTTAGTAATAGGGTCCCGTTTTTACCCTATAGGTACAAAATCTTAAACAAGCTTATCTATAATGTTATTAAAACTATTCACTTGAAGTTAAGCATAATTGTAGAAGACAGACGAACTTCTTAGCAATCCATGGATTCACCGTGCGGGTGCCGAGTCTATCGTGTGGCAGAGAGAGAAACTCTGACCAGTTCCCGGGACTTGCGACCCAGGTGCAGGTTTAAGGAGGCCCCATGCTCGAGTTGCCCGCCCTTCCTAGCCAAATTTGATAGGAGTCTGTTAGTGCAGCCTTAGTTGCTCGTTCCAAAATTGAACTTACTGCAATTCTCGACAAGCCTAGGTCTATTAGAAGGTTATAGAGAGATTTTGCTGGTATACCTCTTATGGAAAATTAAAAGTATTGTTTGTCTATCAGGACGGTCTACGAAGAAGAATGGATAAGCTCAAGAACTCAATAGAAGAAGCTAGCAAAGCTGTCGATAAAGAGCGAGAGAAGAATGTTAGTCTTCTGCATTTGATATTTCCGCCTCACATCGCTAAAAGACTGTGGTTGGGTAAGTATAAGTTAAGTACGACAAATTAAATAGGTCATATGTCGTTCTTGCTCTTAGTTTACGGTCTGGTCATTATACATCTAGGAAGTTTGCACATTTGATGAAGAAAGCTGATTCTCCCAATTGTGAACTGTGTAACAAAGTGGTCGATGTCCAATACATTTTAATGGAATGTGTGAAGAACAGAAGAGAGAGAGAAAGCTATTTATACAAAAATATCGACTTAACTTTGGGAATATAGGTTCCTTTGTGGAAATATTAGCACTACCAAACTCAGATGTAGCAAAGTCGATGTTTGATATGGTTTTCGCTTGTAAGAATAGCTCGCCCTTTCCAATTTTTTAAAATTAAATTAGTTGTGTATATGTTTTGGTTAGGGTACGATGAGGCTGGCATACTCGTAGAATGAAAGCCTCTAAATAAATAAAGAACAAACAAAAATAAGTACGTAAATTATAAAATAGCCAGACCAAATTATAAACTAGCATCAGGCTGAGCAGATGAGTGTTAGCCATCCTTTTAAAAAGAAAGTATTTTCTTTTTAAAATTAATTTCCGCTCGGATTGGATTGCTTTTTTAAGGAAGTAACCTCCACCTTACAGCAGATTACAGTAAAATAACACTACCTTTTGGAGGAATTGTGTTTCTGTCGGTGAGAAAGGTTCCAGGGCTCCACGGGGTACGGGATAGGGTCAGGGTAAGCAACGGATTGAGGAGCTCGTTGGCGCGAGTGGTTAGCGCGTTCGGCTACGATCGTTGAATTTAAGCAAGTTTCACAGTGATCGGTCATTGGATGGGTGACCAAAAATCTTCTATCTCGAGTTCCTCCGTGCTTCGAAAGGCACGGTAAGCCTTTGATCCCGGCTGCATCTGCAGTCGCTAGCACCCGTTAATCCGCACTGGGTCATGGACCAATCTCACTATTCCGTCCATAGGGAAGGCCCCAGCAGTGGGGACATTAATAGGCTGATGATGATGATGATGATGATAAAGCAACGGTGTGAGTAATTTTTGGTATCGCAAGCATCTATAGGCTACTGAGCCGCTTACCATCAGGCAGGCCGTACGCTTGTTTGCAACCCTTTAACATAAAAAAAATGTAATTTGTTAAATTTTGGAGTCTTAACTATCATAGAGAGAAACGTTTTAACTTGCACGCATCTATTATTTCATCCCTCCGAATATTTTCTTCCAGATACATTTGGGTCTATATTTTCTTTACGTGGCACGTAAAAACGGACGAGTAGTAACAAATTTATAGCGATCCCGTTATATAATATTCACCGAGGCTTAAAGTGGTTTTGGCATATTATTGAGGGTAGCTGATACGTGGGAAAGATCCCTGAATATTGTACAACGAAGTACCTGCATCAGGTATTATCCTTTGTGTTTTACGATCTTTGCAGTCTAAGTTTTATTTTGCTTCGCTCGCATCGGTGCTGACCTAACCTATAGTACCACTAATTTTTATTCAGGTCACGAGCTGAAGTTTTATGTATTACCTATTCGATTGATGCTGCTCCATATATTTTATTGTATCCAACTTCATGTCTATTTTATTTTATTTTTCTTTAACAAATTTTCTACTGCGTTTTTCTTTGTGGATTTAATACAGTAAAATATAAAAAACAATCTTAAGGCCAATTATAGAAACTCATTATGTACACATTAGATACTAATGGCGTTACTATATATCAGTATTTATTACATTTAATTTTAAAAATTGTTTATAAATCATATAATTTACTAACATAAATAATGAAATTAAATTATGATAGGACAGAACAAAACATAACAAAAAGACAAAAAACAGAAAAACAATCTCTAAATACCTATACAAAAGGGTTTTCAAAGAATTTGTCACCTGATAACCTTATGAAGTGTGGGTCTGTGTGCGTGTATGTATATATGTGTGTGTGTGTGTTAGAGCATAGTGGGTTGTCAGCTTGATTTGGAAACACTCGTCTGGGAAAGTATGGCACGTACAAATAATAAGTAAATTTAAAAATCATCATTATCAGCATATTAATGTCCCCACTGCTGGGGCACAGGCCTTCCCTATGGATGAAATAGGGAGATTGGGCCATGACCCACAACGCGGGCCCAGTGCGGATAAGCGGGTACTAACGACTGCAGATGCAGCCGCAACCAACGGCTTAACGGGAAGCCTTCCGAAGCACGGAGGAACTCAAGATAATAAGATTTTTGGTCACCCATCCAATGACCAACCACTGCGAAAGTTGCTTAACTTCAGCGATCGCAGCTGAACGCGCTAACCACCTGTGCCATTGAGCTCCTCGAACGAATGTGCTAGAAAAAAATTAGAAATACTATAATATATTTTACTTCCAATGTGTCTAAAACTTTTTTATCGAGCTTTAAGATGGCCGGTGTAACTAGGCTGAATACAAAATTCCACATTTCACCTTAAATTATGTACTATACCACTACCAATTTTGTAGTATTACAATGCTTTCAAAGTTTGCTACAGTTTTAGCTCTTTTTAATGCCACTTCTTTTCAATTTAATTGCTGTTAAATTGACAGGCATGTTGTTGAATAATAATTTGACCAGACCTATTAGAAAACAGGCGTTAGTCAATTTCGGATCAGAATATGCAGAATACTGCGTGGGCCTGGAGCCGTTATCTCTAGTTTTATCTAAATAAATTAGTATATAGATAAATAAATATTTCCAACACTCAAATACTCCAATTAGCCTAGTCACAAAGTAAGCACTGTAAGGCTTGTGTTATGTGATACTAGGGTAACGGATAGAATACATATGCTACACATATATAAGTATATTTATCGTGGATCCAGTATTCTCTTTTAAAAAGTCTTCTCATTTTTTGAACTTCGTGTTAATTTTAAAACAACGTAATATGAGAACATTAACTTCCATAGCGTGTGCTTCTCTACATGTCTGGGTAACAAATATACGCACGTCCTTGACAACTCCTCTATGCGTTGGGTCCGTGATAAGTCCACGGCGGAAATTTATTCACGATTCAGGGACTTTAGTCCTCCACGGGCAAAAGTCACTCGCATGCGCAGGCTATAATTTGTAGTAGGCCTACATTGTTGGATATGAATCGTTCTGCTTATTTTGTCTTTAAACGCAAGCTTAGGGTCTTTCTTATCTTTAAAATACTGAAATACCTGAGTTATTGCGGTGATAAACCGCATCATATTATATGATGTTGATATTTTTACCTTAATTTTGGACATTTCTACCCTGTCGCCAATCAGCGTCAAAACTGAACTTGATAGTGACTTCATTATAAGCAAGGAATGGATCTCAAAATAGGAAAGTAAATTAATTATTGAATCAAAGTTTGCCCCGAAACTTGATCCTAAAACATCTTAAGTTTCGCCCTATTAGCAAATATAATTAGAGCCGGTGAGCAAGTTCGCCGTGAAGTGTTAAAACTCCTTGAAATATTTTGTTTCCGATGAGGTGGCACTCAATTAGAGATCCTGTGCCTTATGCCACTCCCACGCCTGCGCGACGAAGCTGTGACAAGTTATTGTGCTAAAATTAGTTGTAATTAGTTCTATCGTAACGAACTATTTAGCTACGTGACGATAAACGTTAGCAAGGAGAAAGTGTGGCGACGACATCTACATGCCCCACATACGAGTATAATCATCATGGAGGAAATAATTTCTCGCCTCCTCAAAGAAAAGAAAGAAAAGAAAAGAAAGAAAGAAATTCGGAGGCTAACACTCCATATATGCAATGCCCAAAATTAGTCTGGGGGGTATGCACACGAGACACATGGGACACTATACCAGGTACAGTTACGTACCTGGGCGTTTTTCCCCACCCCCCACGACAACGGCTAACTAGAGCCGAAGCCCAAGTCTCAGAGACGCCCTCTAGTTGAGCCGACCCCCTCAGGTTCGAGTAGTTTAGAGGCTCCAAACGGAGAGGAGACTCCCGCGTAGGGAGATTACCATCCGCCTGGAATACCTCGGTGACGCTGTAAAGGTTATCTACGACCAACAGCATATACTCTCAAAAAACAACAGTCTGACCGCGGCCCCTGAGCTACCATCACCCAGCTCGTAGGAAGATCTTCCTATTTGGCCTTCCTAAAATAGCTCGACTAGTGGTTTTTGACATACATCAAAGGGGTTTTGGGGAACATACAGCGGAGTTAGCTCCCTAATCACTCTTTAGTTAAAGAACACTTAAACAAATCCGTTCAGGGTTAATATATCTACACCCATATTTGAAAATGATGTCCTATTGAAATGGTATTCCGAACAATTGAGGTTTCGATGAATTAGCTTGTCGATAAAATAGACCAAGCATTAAATGGATTTTCGCCGATATTGCATAGTTATTAGTAACGCGCCTCATTAAAATGTCTTTTGGTATTGATAACTGAATATCATATCTGTCAATTACCGCTGGAGTATTGGTTTAAATTGTAGCTTCGCATATTGGTTGCGGAATTAATGATTTGTAGATTTCAGTGAACTAATTTCATTTCATTACATATAGAGATAGACTTGTTATAAAATTATACAAATGTAGTTTCATTTTATTATATGCAATTTGATCTGTTGTTTTGTTGAATAATTTACCTGAGAAAGTTATAAACATCATTTCATCAGCCTATTGATGTCCCCACTTCTGGGTCACAGTGCGAATTGTTGGGTACTAACGACTGCAGATGCAGCCGGGATCAACGAATTAACGTGCCTTCAGAAGCACGGAGGAGCTCGAAATTATTTAGTCACCCATCCAACGACTGACCATTGCCAAAGTTGCTTAACTTCCATGCTCGCAGACTGAACGCATAGTGGAAAAAGTGGGAGGGATGCTTTTAGTATCGCCAGCATTTTGACTTTCTGTAATCACTTACCATTACCAGGTCTATCTATCTAATTGCCTTTTCTGCATAAAAAAAGTACTTACCCTTGCCGTTCAGTTTAGTACAGTACGTTTACGTAACATAGCTAATCATCATCATCATCATCATGTCAGCCGTACGACGTCCACTGCAGAGCATAGGCCAAGGATCTCCACACCAATCGGTCCTGAGCCACTCGCATCCATCGGCTTCCTGCGACCTTCACAAGACGATTCTTATGACAGAAAAGTATTAATCTGCCTGTTTTCATGGTCTGGGGGTTGCCGTACTAAGGGGAATTGGAAAAATAATATTTAAGCGCGTCAGACATTGAGAAGGGAACTTACGTGAACCCTCCAATAAGTAGCTCATACTAAAAAGACTGACGATTTGGATGCGACCAATAGTCATGATCGAATGTTGAGTTTTTTTGCTGCCCATTCGTTGGATCCTATATAAAAGGCAGGAATGGCGGGAATACTTCACGAGGTGCAAGGTTTCCGCCCTCATGGAATTCTGCCGCGCTCGAGTTAATCCCAAAATCCCCGCTTGGGCTCCCCTACCATTCTGTACATTATTTATATATCAGGACGGTTACGAAGTTACACTCTGCTACGATAATAACGATGCAATAGAAGTAGGATGCATTATCGCCTAACGCATCGAACCGTGATAAACAAATTCAGGTGGACGCCACGTTGTCAACCAGCTAGTCGTCGGATGAGCTACGGGTAAACGCTTTTTTTTTTTTTTTTTTTATATTACTAGGTAGGCAAATGACTCTACCCCACCTGATGTTAAGTGGTGATAAAGTCCAAACGCGAAGATAGCTGGTACAGCAGTTATTAACTGCTACACCAAAAATGCTCTCTCTTAAAGGACCCCAGATTATAGGAAGGAGGGAACACGTGCGCGGGTAAAGAATTCCACTTACGAATAGTACGACAAAGAAATGAGTCGCCAAATTTCTTTGTTCGTGTAGGAATAGTGGCCACAGTAAGTCGATGGCAACGTAGGCCAGCGCGCGTGGTCCTCTGAAGAAAAGGTGATGGAGGGATAAGCAAGAATAGCTCCTCAGAACACTCGCCGTGGTATATTCGGTAGAATGCGCTTAATGATGCCACATCACGGCGTAATTGTAGAGACTCGAGTTTCTTAGTTGCCTCTTCATCGCCAATGATGCGGGCAGCGCGCCGCTGCAACCTATCCAAGGCATCGAGTAAGTACTTTGCGGAGCCATCCCAGAGGTGCGAGCAATATTCCACGCAGGACCGCACTTGTGTTTTGTACAACAAGCACAGTTGATCGGGCGTGAAAAAACGCCGCACCTTGTTCAGGACTCCGAGTTTGCGTGAAGCTGTTTTGATCAACGTTTCGATGTAGTCCTTTGGATTCAGGTCTGAGCGAACTTCCATACCGAGCATGGTAATATTGCTCTGTAGCGCCAGTGTTGTGCCCTGAAGAGAGGGAAGGGGAAGGAATGGCGATGTTTTTGCCGTGAAAGCGCAAGCCTGAGTTTTCTTGGCATTGAACTCAACCAAGTTCCTAGTACCCCATTCGGAAATGTGGTCTAAAGCCCGATTGAGCTCAACGACAAGATTCTCCCGTTTCTCCATGGTTTCTACCTGTCCAGCCGCCGCGTGTCCAAAGTATCTCGCATGCACTGTGCTATCGTCTGCATAGCAATGAATATTCGCAAGTGGAATCAAATCATTGATATGCAGCAGAAAGAGTGTGGGGGATAGAACGGAACCCTGAGGAACACCGGCATTCACTGACATGAACTGCGAACTACATCCGTCCGTAAGGACGCGAATTCTACGCTCATGCAGGAAGTCAGCTACCCAGGCGCAGAGCTGAGCAGGCAGACCGTATGCAGGAAGCTTGGAGAGAAGGCTCTTGTGCCAGACCCTGTCAAAAGCCTTGGCGATGTCAAGGCTAATAGCCAGAGACTCTCCCCGCTTGTCTATCGCTTCACCCCAGATGTGTGTCACGTACGCTAGAAGGTCACCCGTCGATCGATTCGGCCTAAATCCGTATTGACGATCGTGAATTAGAGAGTAATCTTCTAAGTAGCGGGTCAGATGGTTGTTAAGGACCCTTTCTAAGACTTTACACAACACTGAGGTGACAGCTATCGGCCGATAGTTGGCCGGGTCTGAGCGGTCCCCTTTTTTGGGCACCGGTTGCACATTGGCGTCTCTCCAAGCTTCCGGCACACGCCCCAAAGAGTAAGAGAGTTGGTACAGTCGCGTAAGCACGGGAGACAACTCCGCTGCACAATGTTTTAGAACAACTGATGGGATGCCATCGGGTCCACTAGCTTTCCGGACGTCGAGTGATTGCAATTCCGCACGAACATCACGCTGCCTGATTTTAATGTCAGGCATCGTAGTGCCACAATGAGGTAGTGTAGGTGGCAGTGCATTGCAATCACTGATTCGGGAGTTAGCCGCAAAGAGCTTTGCCAACAAATCGGCTTTCTCTTGCGGCTCATGAGCTAGTGACCCATCTGGACATCGCAGAGGTGGCAGCGAGGGCTGGCAAAAGTTGTGTTGCACGGCCTTAGCCAAACGCCAAAAACTACGGGAGCCCGTAGGGTGCGTTAACAATTCGTGGCCAGTACGTGCTACACGTTGGGCATCCGCTCTGATGTAAGCCTTCTTACAAGACTTGGAAGCACTATTATAGGCAGCTTTCAATGAGTTAACCCCGGGATCCTTAAGAGCGCGGCCTCTGATCCAAGCGCGATATGCCGCCTGCTTACGAGAAACAGCATCGGCACAATCGCGATTGAACCAGCGGTTACGTGTGCCCTTACTGATGAGATCAGAATGTGGAATGTAATACTCCATTCCCATTACGATCTCCTCAGTAATGGCAACGGCACTGGATGATAGGTCCTTTTCATTGAAGCAGCGCTGCTTCCAAGGGACAGACGCAAAGTAATCGCGCATACCATCCCAATCTGCCGACCCATAGTGCCAGACCCTGCGTTTGACCACCAATGGTCGAGGGGTTTTGGCCTGTGGCACCTTGACAGATATCAGGCAATGGTCTGATGAACCCAGTGGGGCTCGAACCACAATCTGATACTCCTGCGGATGGGTCGTAAGCAGAAGGTCTAGTAAAGAAGGCGCTTGACTTGCTATATCTGGGATCCTGGTGGGCTGATCAACCAGTTGTGTCAGGTCGTGCGTGAGAGCGAATGCATGGGCAGAGATCCCTGCATGGTCAGTTTTGGAAGAGCCAAGCCACAAACCGTGGTGGGCGTTAAAGTCTCCCAAAAACACCAGTTCTGCGTTGGGAAATTGCGCCTGGGCATCATCTGCTACCCTACTGAGGTGGTCAAACAGTCGAGTTGTCTCAGCGTCGCCGGTGTGAGATCTGTAGAGACACACGTAGACTCTGGCCAAAGGACCAGAGTCTACATGTACCGCCAACATGGAAAAGGAGGGGTCTTCCAGGCAGCTCAAACGGCGACAACAAACATCCGCCCGAACATACAGGCATACGCCGGCTTTTGCTTTGAAGGATTCTTCAAGCGCGTAGCCGGGATATTTAAGGTAGCCTGTGTCAGCGGGCGGAAGTATTTGTGTCTCCGTGAGAAACAATAGTGCTGGCCGTGCTGTCTCAAGATGGTGGTGGACAGCATTGAGGTTAGAGTGGAGTCCGCGTATATTACAGAACTCAACCTCAAACAGCGCGGAAGGCGTGGGGGTGTGCACCGCTGTACAACCAAACTTTATTTTACGGGCTGCCATCATGAGAAAAAAGTTGAGAGACGTGAATCGAGTGGAGTTAGTCGCGACAAAGACAGGCAAATATATGGAGGCACGTTTTCCCGAGTAACTGCCTGCGAAAGAGATACGCCGACCCAACGGACGGAAGGGCCCCCGCACCCTCCCGGGAGTGGCCGCCGGGACCCCACGCCCCGGTCACCAACCGGCACGACGGTCCACCCCGAGATTATGAGTGACATGATAGGGCAGCCTCACGAACTGGTTAGGAACGCTCGGGCCCCTGTACTGTGCCACGGGCGGCCAGCGGGACAGCCGTTTCTACGGGTCTCCCTGGCCGGTGGGTCGATGCAGTCCTCCCGGCATCGGTTCGACGGATGCCTCCACTGGACCGAATCTGTCGCGGCAATCTCCACTCGAGCTCTGGTTGTACGCTGGCTGATCCCGAAACGCGCGTGAAGCACTTCACGGGTTTTTCACCATGCGTACGGTGGTAACAAACCAGGCGGGTGTTAGGCACCCTACCACCAGGAGAGCAGATGGAAGCTCTGATATCCCTCAGTCGCTTCTTACGACACCCGCGGGAAGTGAAGGGGCGGTGAGTGGTATTCTTTCTCCGTCACCGCACGGATAGATAGCTTTGTGACTTTTAATGCAATCATCGCTGCGCTATAGAGGAGACTACTGAAAGGTTTCATAGTAAATGTTATTTTTTAAGGTGAGAAGATTGAAGCCAAGAGCCACGATGACGTCACAATGTTGTTCAGCGACATCGTGGGGTTCACGTCCATCTGCGCCACAGCCACGCCGATGATGGTGATCGCCATGTTGGAGGACCTTTACAGCATTTTTGACGTTTTCTGCGAGCTCCTGGACGTCTATAAGGTTGGTTAACTTTGCAACATTTTGTCCAGAATCCTCGACTAAATGCTGCAAAGTTTAGTTTTTTGGGTCATTTATTTTGAGGGCCTGTTTCACAATCGCTTAGTGAATTCCTAAGTAAGCTACTTCCCACTTAAAATTGAGATTCGACTATGCTATACTATTGCGCTATAAAGTATAGCGCTTATAGCCATCCCATACAATATAAAAATAGCGTGGTGTGAACGTGTTCTATGTAAATGTATGGTGTGCGCTATCGTGCTATGAGTTATTATAAGATAATTCTTAGTTCTTCAAAATACTGAACATTTTCGTCCTTTTTCTTTAGGTGGAGACAATAGGTGACGCATACTGCGTCGCGAGCGGCCTTCACCGGAAGATAGACACGCATGCTCCGCAAATCGCATGGATGGCACTACGCATGGTTGAGACATGCGCACAACATTTAACTCACGAAGGAAACCCGATTAAGGTATGTGTCGGTAAGAATGTACTTAAACGGCCCACGATTTTAAGGGGTTTGAGAGGAGAGGTGGCTAGGGGAGAGAACACTCTTTCATCCAAACCCCATCTCAACTAAAGCTTAAGTATACTTTCAGAGTTATTCAATATTCAGATCTACCGTAATCGGTAAAACCCTTTTGAATCGTTGCGTCGGGATAAAAAAAATATACAAAATACCCAAAAAATACTATTTATAAACCTACTTTGACCTTACAATATTTTATAGCCACAGCCAGCATAAAATATACACAGGTACAAAAGAAAATGAAGAGCATAATGGTGGAGGCGGCCTCCCTCAATCTCCACATAAAATTTGGCAGGGAGCCAATGTTTACTAGACGATCAATGCAAATTTCCATCATAGCAGTTTACGGGAAAAATCTTTGCGTCTGGAAAGCCTAACCAAAGCTTATAATTTTAGACTAAACGTATAATAAAAAGCTCTAGAAAATCGGCGAACTTTATCCTTTTATTAAATCATAAAAAGTGTATGTAATGAGCAAATACTATTTCTAAATGTACTTAGTCCTTAAATTATTTCAATTATATAAAGTGTAAGATGTCTGTCTATTTGAAGAATTTATATAATAATAATACCTGTATTATTAAAACTATAACTCAACCATTGTGTAAATGTTAAAGAAGATTTTATAATGCAGAAAAGATTCAAATCTATTTTTGCATTACCATATTACTAATTATATGCATAAATACAAAAGTAACAGATTGGTTGTCTGTCTTTTTTTTATTTTATTTCTTTCTTCTACTTTACTGTTTCGAGACTTAATCACTAAATAGATTTTGACGATGTTCAGTATAGAAATAAAGGGAGACGTTGCGTATTTGTGCGTGTTGTATACAGTGGTGAGTGCTCCGAGGAATTATTCAATCTGGTATCAGCGGCCAAGTTTCTTCACTACAACACATGCCGCAGAGAGAAGTTTCACCCCACCATTGGACGCTTGGCGTTTTTTGGCGAAGAAAAACAAAAGCTAGTTTTTTTAAGTAAAATAAACTTAGAGGGTAGTGAATTCAGAGAACAAGATTTGTAAGTAGTGGTGAAATATAAGGACAAATTATATACTTGAATTAAGAAATCATGATTACCCTCTAGTATTTAATAATCTTAACATTTAAATTATATACTAGCAGTGCTGGATAATGTTAAAACCTTAATATTTTAATAACTTGGATTTTAAAGTAAGCGTGGGCAATTAAAACAGCGGCCCTGGGCAGGCTCTTGTCCGAGTTTTAATAAACCGATGCATGATGAAAGTTAATTTATAAAAAAACTTTTTTAAATGTGAATGTAATCGTGTCGGATTTGGTGTGGCTTTGCAAAATACAATGTGGTTTTATATTTCGCATTTATATTTAATTGGAGTGGGTTTTATAACGTAGCAGAATGTCAATATTCTTTGAGAACTATTTATTCATTTAACACGACAACTTCAACGAGTGGGTTATTTCCAGTAAAAACTACTGATCATTCTGTGATTATAATGATTCAGCTTTTTTATTATTGTTGATATTATATTTATGCATAAAGATGTAAGATTATGAAAGAGGTTTACAAAATAATGCGTTTGTATGTCCGCTAAATGAGTCAATGAAAAATAATTTTCACTGAAATGAACTTTATACCATCTGCTGATATGCATTGTATTTGTGATTGAAACCTTCTTGTTCCTTTCACAAAGATGCGCATCGGACTATTGGACTCCACATAGGCACGGTCCTATCCAGAGAGGCAAGACCATGCTGAAGCGCTGACAGTTCGGTCACAACGCGACGTTGACTATATGCAATAATACAAATATTTACTCTTTTTAATTTTATTAGAGTAGATGAAACTATTTCGTAACTCCTACGTGGAGGTAAGAACTCATGGTGCGATTTTCTCCCGAGCCTGCCGCAGCTGCGGGACCGCAGCTCTAGTGAAATTGTAGGTAAAGCGCAAAAGAAAAACTCAAGACGCGATTTGCGCCCGCAAAGCGCGCGGGTGTTTAGAGCATCCGCATAAAATTGCGGTCTCATGGGTTTTGAAATAAGACAGCTCTGCGACCGGTGCGGGAAAAACCGCTCCATGAGCTTTTCTTAGACAACTTTTTTTTCCTTTCACACAGATGCGCATCGGACTCCATACGGGCACGGTCCTAGCCGGAGTGGTGGGCAAGACCATGCTGAAGTATTGCCTGTTCGGGCACAACGTCACGTTGGCCAATAAGTTCGAGTCAGGTTCGGAGCCGCTGATGATCAACGTTAGTCCTACCACTTACGAGTAAGTTTCGTCGAAAACATTACTACTACTACTACTTGGTTAACTAAAGTATAAGAACGTCGCGCACTTGGTCGCAACGTATACTAAGTATATCGGCATGTCTGGTTGTTGCGGCCAACTTACGTATAGTTTGGTAGTTATGGTTCCTGAAAGTATTAAGCCTAAGCTTCGTATCGTTCCGCAACTCAATACGACGACGCTTTTCCTGCAATAAACTTTGATATAGAGTTATTTAGTTACGAAATAAAGATACGACCAACACTGTTGCCGTTTTACGGCCAGTCGTGGTCGAGGCTGCAAACTTGGTCGCAACATAACCGTATCTACTGCGACCAAGGTTGCAACTACGACCACGACTGGCCGTAAAGCGGCCACAGTGCTGGTCGTTTCTTTATTCGTCGTGGCCGTCTAGTGCACGAGGTGCTATCTATTCTTAAAATTTGAAAGCGCTATTTTTAACTTCATTTATCACACAAACTCTATCTTAAAGTTGGATTTTAGAGATATAAATAAATGAATCATTATAGGCTAATTGCTTAGTATACTTTTTTTTAGAAAAATACTAATCTTAGCAGATGCATCCATCATTGCCTTGGACTGAAGGTGTTATGTACACTGTCATGACATGTACATTGATGGTATGTTCATTACATTAATATTGTACTGATTTCACCATCATCTCTTTTTTTATTACTTTAAATTTTAAAACATTCTTTTAGTCTTTATGAATATCTCGATCCTTTTTTCGTATTTTATACCGGTTTAAATTGATTCCATCAACATTTCCCCAACCTATTGTGAGTGAGAAGCGACCGTTAATTTAAATAGCAATACAAACAAAAGTTTGTCGCTTAAAACGAAGGGATTGTGAGTATCCATTGAATCGTCTAGTAAACGACCCTCCGTGTTATTTTTAATGCCAAAACAACTTCGTTATTGATGATCAGCGAGCCGTAAAGGCAGTGATTCCTTCAGCCAGCGTTCGCTGTGTAAACAAATGGTATAATGTTGTTTACGCAAAATAAGGCATCAATAAAACTTCATAATAAACCTTCAACTCACGCCCATTGAACCGTACGCAGTTTAGTAACTACTGAAATATTTCCATTATTAAGGATTACTTTTCAATTTCGAGGTAATCTAATCAACTGAACTAATCGTAAATCAACTGAACCTAAATCTAATCCGGCTTTATTAAAGTTATTTTTTTGTTGTTATATCTAAAAGTAAGGATTTTAAAAATAACATAAAAAGGCGATAGTTAGATTTCTTTAAAACATTTCCTTAGTAATCTATTGGTTAGCAGAACTTGTGATATTGCTGAGCATAAATGGGAAAAAGTTAGCCACTTAAATACTATGCTAATTCAAACGTCACTTCCTCAGAAATTAGTGTTTGTTCAAAACAAGTTCTTCTTATTTGAAAACAATAGTAAAAGGTATCCAACCATGTACTTTATCCTTTTTGTTGATGAGTTCCTAGTAATTGTGATGGAGTAAATAAAACTAGTTTTTACGGGTTAATGCACGAAACTTTATTTATTTATTGACGTTTCGTAGCCTTTACAGGCTACGGTCGTCAGAATTAAACTTTTATTTAATTTGTCGAGCTACCTTCGAAAGACAGTCTTTCGAAGGTAGCGTTTCGTGCATTAACCCGTAAAAACTAGTTTTATTTAATTAGTGATGTGCGTGAAAACCTAAGAAACAAATGTGATGGAGTAGCTATTTAAATGAAGTTATTAACTGTGATGATACTTAAATCATGACTTAGGGTCACTCCACACCAAGACGCGACGCGACGCTGCCCGCTCATTTTAATAGAGCGAATCAAAATTTAACTTAATTTTTACACGAACAGATAAATATTTCATTTTACGAGTTCAGAATACGTTGCACTACGCCACAAAGCGGGTGGGTGCGGCGGGGCAGGTGCACGCGTCGAATGTAGACGTTCCGTCTTGCTGCGCAGCGAAGCGTCATGCTGCTAACGATTTTACGATGCGCCTAGCGACATTGCGATGCGTCTTGCGATGGCGCCCTAATGCTGCGTTTCCACCTAGTGCTCTATACAATGTTGCGTTGTTTCCATTGATGATTGAGCAAGAGAGCGAATGTTCTATGAGTCCTATCAAACATCGTTCGCTCGCTCTGATGTTTCTATTAATTACCGACCAAATGTTTGCTCTTTCAGAAACACAGCAAAGTATATTTTGATTCAGGAAAAGCAAAACCACATGATTATAAAGAGCGTGTTTTCAAACAATATTCACCTAAAATCCCCTTTTATGATTAGGAGTTTGTCAACATTAATCATATCGTTATAAATTTCTAAAATTAACTTTTTCTCAATACGCTCCGTAAACATTAATGGCAAAGATATACCAGCCTCTGTATGCGGTTGACAGTTTTAATTTAGCCTGCATTCGGAATAGAGAATGTTGGTGCAGGCTGATTTCATTTCCCCGTTTAAACAACAAAGGCTTGTTTCGCAGGTGGCTAATAAAATTCCCCGGTTTCGAGATGGAGCCAAGGGACCGCTCGTGCCTCCCGAATTCGTTCCCCAAGGACATACCTGGCACATGCTATTTCCTGCACAAGTACACCCATCGCGGCACAGACCCGATAGCGCCTCAGGTGAGTTTTAAAACAGTCCAGTTTTATATTAAAACCTTTTACGTGAAAGCAACTCGTAAATTCATTACCGATGTCCTTACTCATATATTTTTTCGTCCATTGTTTTGAAATCGCTAAACACATATCGGAAAACCTTTTGAATTCTCTTTAACACTTTTAAAATGTATTATTTAAAAGCATCTATTGTTTTAAAATTAATTCAAAATGTATTGTGTATGTTTTAATTCATAAAACTTCAAGTGGTTCAGTATAATGTTCAACTTCCTTTACTATATAATATTTATAAAGCTTTTGTATTTCTAAAGCTCATCTTCAATATGTTTTGTTAAAAATACATTTCGATACATTGCCTTGAAATATAAATGTGGCTAGTTATTTTCATCATAATATATCGATTCTATTGTTAACGTTCTATGATGACATGTTGTTTGTTTATTCAAAGAGGCGTGCTTGGCTTTTGAATTGCAAATATAAATAGGTAACGATGTGTACTCGTCGATTATAAAGGTCAAGGTGTTAACCAGGTAAAATTTGGATGCTCGAAAAGATTTTGAATAACCAAATATTTAACTGCATCTTCATACTGTCGTCTTTGCAAGATTTCGTAGAACACAAAAATTTAAATATATATATGTAAAAGAATTTGAAAAAATGATAATTTAATATAAAGCAGGGGGACAAATCCAATGTCCGACAAATTAAAAAATAAACAAAGTATATTTAGTTAGTTATCAACAGTGAATTAGACCACGTCATTAATAGCTTGTAAAATCGTATCATATCGTTGTATAGCCATTTAAACTTCTTTGAAAAAAAGCAATGAATAAAAAGTGCCGTAATAGGGTTCTCCTGAATCGATAAATCAAAGGTTAGACATGTCATAATATCGCTTAGCTTTTCACATTCAAAATGTTGCCAATTCCACAGAATCGATACGGCATACGGCAGTACTGGCACGTTTGTCCACTCAGATCCAAATTCGCTACTGATTGTGCCAATTTCCGTTTGGCCCCTTAAAATATTCATAGGTACACGAACATTATATGATATAATAATCGCAACTATTTTGAGAAAATAATGAGGAATAATAATAAAATAGCATATATTATTGTAAGTTTATTTAATAAAAAAGGGAACAACATATAAAAACTTCAACTTATATTACTATACTACACATTTAAAATAATAAAATAGGTAAAAAATAAATTTTACCTGAAATGTTCATCAATATGGTTATATCAATTAAAACATTGCTCCAATCCAATAAACCAAATTATATATCCCGCAATTCGGAATGAACTCGAATTAATCACTTTCAGCATAAATTATTACACAAGGCAAAGCTAATTCCACACGTGAGATAAATTTGAAGTTCATAACAAATCCCAAGGGCAAAGAACTTTGGTGTTGATCGGAGCCTAGCGAGCTAAGACGTTCATTTTGTTTAACAGGTTAAACATATAGAAGACGCATTGAGAGATTTTGGCATCGGACAAGATAAATCAAACGTCGAAGTTGACAGTGACGAACCCACTTAGTCGTTATAAAATCCTGATGATAATTTGAAATTATATCCTTCAATTTGCTACCAACATAAATTTAAGCGAGACACTGTTAACACTGTAAATACTTATCTTAATTGCTTTGTAAACTGTTGATTTAAAAACTTTGTTCATCAAAATTTTTGCAAAGTTGAAGTACTCTTAAAAGTTAAGCACCGCTTTCGTTTTGTATACATCATTTGAATAGAATAGAAGGATATAATTGCAGCTACTACTATTTGTTGTTGTAACAACGGGGTGTATTACATTTTTTTATTAAATGCCTCACTAATGATATTATGATCTCTATCAATAAAGATATTAATGATGTAACAATTTTTACTCACAAAGTTACAGGTTTGTTAATTGATGTCCCTTAAACTTTTCTTCTTAGTGAATGTGATGTTGTACTTAAATCTAATGTACATAAAAGTACGAAACTGAATACGAAACTCTATTAGATAATTAATAGTGATCTATGTAAAGCTTTACGACATTGTTTATAAGAGAATGTAAATAAAGTTGAATCTGGGATAATTACGACTTACATAGCTGTAATGCAATTTGCTGTATTTAAATATAGTGTTGAAGCAGCAAAGTTGAGATAATTACTTTTCAGTATAATCACTTAGTAAGGTAACGTAAAAATAATCTCACTAACAACAGTAGTTCATTTCTAGTAAACAAAAACGCTTTACTAAGTCCTTTTAATATTTTTTACAAAAATATTCAACTAAAAACTTTCGTTGTTAGTAACTGTTGAAGTAATCAACTCAAAAATCAGCTGCCATAGAGTACGTAAGCATAAAGGATATGTAGATATAAAGACATTAAGTCAACATTTTGCACCCCTATTACTATTTACAGACTGAAACGCCCATTGTTTCCGTATGTGCAATTAGGTACATTGTCAGTTTTTGACAGTTTAACACTCATTTATTGTATTAACTTTTTGAATGTACTAAATGGTTTTTAAAAGGATTTAATATTGCCTCTGCAAGATTTTATTTTGTGAAAACATCTCAATTTAAATATTGTGGTGTAATAACTTTTATTGAATGGATCACTAAGGCGAAAGTCGACATTTACTGGAGATTCAGTCAAATTCAGTTTGTTGGATTAGTTATGTTGAAATTTCGTTTCCTGAATTCTGGATACATTGTTGTTATTTATTACTCATTAATAACTTTAGTAATTGGTTTAAACACGCATTTCTCAGGCCCACTTGCAGCAAATTTGCTTAAGCTCGATTCAACAAAAACTTGATTTGAACCATAAAAAAATGTCTAAACGCCAATGTCAATTTATCGTTTAGTCTTGTATGGGACGAATCTAGTTTTAGTGAAATTGAGATGTTACAACATTTCTGCAAGTGGAAGTATGAATCGTTATTATAACATTGTTAATGAAACAATAGATTTTAAAAATTGAAAGTTTTACGTTCATGTAGATCAAACATACTGTCTACTATGTAATATAGGTACAGAATGCTATAAAATTATTAAGTCGACATTCCTTTACTTCTGTTTCAACAGAAACTGTGCATTCAGTGGAAACTAAAACATTGCTTGTAACTTTGAAATCGGAGAAATTTATATAGTTGTATGTATGTACAATAGGTGTATGCTATTTAGGTAATACTTTGAGCGATAAATGTACTCATAGCGCAATATATATATACTTTTCCAGAACTATCTATAGGATAAGCCTTTCATGGTAAGATCTTTTTACTATACACACGAAAAAGCGTAAGTTCTAAAGTAGTTAATATGCCTACTGGAGTAAATTAAATAGATTAGACTATTGTAAGAAGCTTCATTGCAACTTTTAAAAATGCTTCAGGTTTTTTTCCTTTATTGCAAGAATAAAGTGGCTGGTGTTTACAATAGTGTAAATATAGTAATGGCTTAGTATATACTCGTTACCCTTGTCTTGTTTGAATTCTCCGTTGGAAGAAGGAAAACCGCTTTCCCGTCCTGTCAGTTAAAATTTTAAAAATGCGAGCCAAATTAGCCTCATTATTCTCCAAGCAACTTCACCTTGCAATGCCTTTTTTCTTAAATTAATATAAACTTTACAATCTGTTTCACGTTAGAATCTCTCTTAGTTTTACCCACGCCGCAGAACTCATTACAATAAATTAGCAAGTAAAATAAAAGATAAACGACGGGATGGGATGAACATTTGAAATCTGTGTTATTTGGGAAGAGGTGGGGGCGACTATTGTCTGGTGTTCGTGGTAGAATTTTATTGCATACGATTGTTGACCAAACGTTTGCTTTTTTTTATTTTATGCCTGGTGATAAGGCTTGATGGAGGGTACTTTATGACATTTAACCTTTTTTATTTTTCCCAAGAATCTATTTCGGACACACAACCTTTAATTTTTAAAACTAAAAGAGATGAAACGGTAAGTAGGCACACATTTCTTAATATATGTATTTTTTTATAATCACATTAAAAATATGCTAAGCACTCTATTACATATCCTTTTATCATTTCGGGAACATTACAATATATGCCTTGCGTATATCAAGGTTTCAGTTACGTATTTTTACTACTACCAGGCCTATAAATACGTCAAAGTCCTAATTTTAAGGCTTAATCTCACAGTGGTCCAAATATAGTCAAAAACTAACTTTACTAGTTTTGTCATTCAAAAATGATAATAATTGATTAAATTAATTCACAAATTTGAATGATTTTCATAAAATAGTAAATGGTCACCTAAAAATACAAGTCGTAACTTAAAGATTAGGTTAAGCTACCAATTGTGTTTTTAAAGATTTACAAATTTATTATACACGCTTGAGCAAAAATTAATGTCTATAGTCCGTAATTTCTGATCGAAATAGAAGATAAATATGTTAACATAGTGATAAATATTGTTTACTTAAAATCATAGTGAATTCCAGACAACTATTAAGTATTTTACAAAAAAAAGGAATTGAGTTCACAATTTCAGAGTAATAATAATAAAAAATAAAATAAAAATGGCATTTGACACAGACTTAAATTTATTATGTTTAAATTGTGTTACTAATTATGCAAATATTATTGTCGATTCCGGCATGATTCTCTAAACTTAACACTAAATTTAACATAAGTCTCTCCTTTTCATTCTGTATAGAGCATGACAAGGATACACTGTTGTCAAATTTAAGTTTAGGTTTAGAGAATCATGCTGGAATCGACACCATTGTTTACTCAAAATATGTTGTTAACATATTTTATATGTAACACTTACAGTAGACACATCAAGTAACCAAAACCCATTTTATGTACTTTATGCTTTTGAGAATAAGGTTAAAGAACAAACTGACCAGTTTTATATTATCTAATATTATGTCAATGACTTCTATAAATTAAACAAGTTTGAACGGTAAAGATGCACTGATTTATTTATTAATTGACGTTTCGCATCCTTTTCACGATGCGTCGTCTGAATTATCCTGATCGCGCATCCTAAGGATGCGAAACGTCAATCTTCTGTACATATATATAAAACTCAAAGGTGACTGACTGACATAGTGATCTATCAACGCACAGCCCAAACCACTGGACGGATCGGGCTGAAATTTGGCATGCTAAGAAAGGATTTTGATCAATTCTACCCCCAAGGGGATAAAATAGGGAATTAAAGTTTGTATGAAACTTTGTCAATTTTAAACCTATCGGGCTGAGACTTTGCATGCAGGTATAAGAAGAATCATAGATGAATGTCATTGTGTATAATACAAGCCTGAGAACAAAAACTGTAGTCTACACTTCAGCTCTACACCGAGGCGAAGCGAGGGCGGGCCGCTACTAAATAAATAAATCAGTGCATCTATACCGTTGAAACTTGTTTTATTTAATGAGTGGTGTAAGTGAAAACCTAAGAAACAAATATGTTAATGACTTCAGTTAAGAGAATTAGGCCTCTTAACTGAAGTCATTAACATATTTGTTTATTATACATATAACAGTGTTTTACAAAACATTCCATGCACCAACCTGTATACATTTTGCAGTGTTGTGATAGAAATAACAACGTATAATAATAAGTGTAATTTATATAAGCATAAGGTGTATTAATGCTGTGCTTTAAGCGTATGTGGCACATATCGCAATATGTTAATTTTCAATTATACATTTCATCTAGTCATTATCATTAGGAGGACTACAGTAAGTTTTATTACTTAATTTACAAATGTTTGTTGTTTATCATTTGTTTGCGCTTTATGAGGCTTACTCTCTTTTATTCTCGTTATTAAATCATTATTTGCCTTTAATTGGTGTATTTCCTTCAACAGAATTTTGTTCGATCATTATGCTACTGCAATGATTTTAGTAGTATCAAAACAAATCAATCAGGGTCACATACAAAAAGGATATTGAACAACAAAAAAATGACACGTATTTTTTTTCTTTTTTCACATAATGAAAACATCGCATAACGTCACGGCTTGGTAATTTTTTTAATTAAAGGTGACGTCACGAGCCCCAAAACTCCCAAACTTTGACTTTGTATGACAAAAGAAAAAATATTTCTCAACTATTTTTTACGATGTACCTAACTGACGGACTAAATACAATTTAGTTTACTTTACCCCGATATCAACCATAATTTTAGAAGTGTGAGGGCGTCCGCTGCCTTAAGCAGGAGGACGTCCGTCGCGGAGATCCACTTCGTGCTCCCGCTTAAGGCAGCGAACGCCCTGAATAAACATGTCAAATAAAGATGAATCTTTCATTAATATATTATACCAAATTTTAGTGCCATATAATTTCCTAAGATCAAAAATACCTGTCCTAGGCAGATATACCTATTTAGAGGTACTACTTTAATTCAGATCCTTATTGCATAAAATAGAAAATTGATAGTCAAACGAACTTACCTGTAAGTGACGTTCGACTTATATTATACGATGAGAGACGCATTTTTTAATTAGCTTCGGTTGATTTCTGGTTTATTTATACTAGATAAAAAAGTATATCCTTTTTCTCTTCTTCTTCATGAAGGCAGCCATGCGTCTGGCATAGGTCGGGAGTTAAAAAGTATGGTGACTATGGTATCGATTCTGTCATGATTATCTAAACTTAAAACTAAAGGACATTGCTCGTTCCCCATACATTGAATGCCCTAGAACGCCCAGCAATGAGAAAATGCTAGTTGTGTTCGGAATCATTCATAAACTCTAATTAGGCATTTGTTGAGATACGGACAACTTGAGGAACCGTGGCCTACTACAGAATGTATTTGATTTTGAGGTTATAATTATTATACTTAATCGTAAAAGATGTACACTTACTTTTAGTGTTTACCTCTATGTAAGCACTTAAATAATATGCATGAAATGAACATAAAATGCAATTAATAATAAAAATAATAAATGCTTATATTCATATTGATTAATGAGTGTTATCAGTTGGCACCTACGATACCTTTACCTTACCTGTAGTAATAATAGATTTCTTTTCAAATGAAATGTTCAGTCTTTACATTTACCTGTTTCTATATTTTACTATCGGTAATTAGGTATGTACCTACCTGATTATCATTATGATTTTCATAAAAATATATTATCCCATCCCATCCCATATATTACATGGGATGGGAGTATAAACTATCTTTACATAATTTCAGAAATAATCTTTTTATAAATATAATACTAGTAATAAGTATTATTAACTAAGGTTTTTCTATTTTTCTTTTGATAAATACCTATGGTCGCCTCTAATGCATTTATTAAAGTAAAAAATCTTGGCACAACTTTTTAACAGAATCACCCATTTAATAATAAAATATTAACGAAGCCAATAAACTATTAAAATAAATCGTTATTATAGACTGAAACCTTTTGAATCCAGTTATCAGTTGATTTTTAATGCTGTTTTTTCAATAAAAAGGAGTGCCAAGTTGGATGAATAGACTGTAGTATCTAGTAACAGAACTTTATTTTTTTATTTTTTTAAACAGATTGTCCGTTTACTATGATTAATTGCTAATATGTTAAAAAAATAATAGAAAGATAATAGTGAAGGACATTCTTTTGGGCATGCTAGGGCCGATTTTGTCGATGTCCTTTAACATCAGTCTCTCCTTTTCATTCTGTATAGAAAATGACAAGGATACACTGTTGTCAAATTTAAGTTTAGGTTAAGAGGATCATGTCAGAATCAACACCTATTTCTTATTATTTGTATACTAAATGCCCAACTTTGTTGTCTATTTTTATAGTATGCATACTTAGAATTTCTTTTATGTATATCTTTAACAGAATGCATTGTTTGTAGAAGTCATCTGCAACTATATTTATAGAGCTTAAGTCTAGATAGTACCCATTAATATGTATATATCTAAAAGATTTTATCTTGTCCTCATGAAACTTTAATTTCCATGTGATACTAAATATGTTCGAAACAGATATTTTTACAAACCGCTATCTAATATTTGTTTGAAAAACTTAAACATAATCGCTATTTCATAATCATAATATAATTATTTAGAATGAAACTAAGTACTTGTAAATACTTATTATGCAGTTTCTTACTTTGTTCTATCAACATCATATTAGGTTATGTTCGTAGGTCATGTGACAAAACTGTCCAGTTTCTCAATTAATTGTCCACGTTGTGGAGTTAAGTTCCAAATTTATTATATCGTTATTTTAAGAAATTAATTGCTAAAAGAAAATTTTAGTGCAAAAAAAAACTCAGTCTAGGCATCACACAGGATTCGAACCTGCACTTTTCGCAATCCGGGCCGAACCTGCACTTTCCGCAATCCGGGCCGAACCTGCACTTTTCGCAATCTGGACTGTGTCGAATTACTTCTACTAGTATATCTTAGGCATCCCCCGGATAGCGGAAAGTGCAGGTTCGAATCCTATGTAATGCCTGGACCGAGTGATTTTTTTTCAAGTAAATATAATTTTATTTACTTCAAAATTCCTTAATTCTTGTGCTGACCTAATATGCTGTTGATTTTACATCGAACGCGATACGCGGCCTTCTTTGCATACAATGTAGATTCTTTAAGGTCTGACTAGAGTGAAATTATTATGCATATGTATGTATATCGTTTGTGTATATTTAAATATAAATCTCACTATGGATGTAAGCTAATTTGTATTTCACGCTGTGTCGAACATAATCGTATAAGTTCATAGTTTCTTGTGAAACTTTTAACTGTGAATGCACTGTTAGTAAAAAAACAACTATTGAAATAAATTGTTTCTTTCGTAATATTACCTGTTTTATTTGAAAGTCCTAATTTTGAACTAGATGTAGGGGAACACTGTTCCCTTCATTATTCTGGTCATGTGAAACAAAGTTATATAACTTTGTACAACTTTACTTCTTAGCTATGCATGAGAATTCCATTGTCTAGGGAATGAATGCTTTTTGATGGTCAAAAACATATCCTTCCTATTGTATCGGGATGTATCATATTTATGATATAAGAACTTTAAGCATGTGTTACTATAAATTCAGGACTTTTGCTACTTGTATTTATAGTTTCATAATTTTAAGTAGTACTTAAGCTAAGGAAACGTGTTTAAACTTTCAGAAACATCAAATATTTTTATTTGAACAATTTGTTAGGAAGAAAACTAGGATTATCATAAACGATCAACCTTCATAAAGGAATCGAACGTTCAAACAATATTAACAACATATAAGTATGTACATACAGGTGGTATCATATTTAAATTAAATAACTTTTAACTGCACAGCTTCTTGGATACCAACCTAATTTAGGTAATGAAACCCTATACAACCCAACTTCATATTGTGTTAGACGCACAAACTTCGGTCTCTCCAAGACACATCAAATTAAGCGAAGTTGTTTAAATAATTTCGCGTACGAGCGCTGTCAAAGATCTCCAGGGCATCACCCGACTCGAAGATTTTTTTATAAATTCAGCTAACAAGTAAAGTTGCCCGGAAACAAAAACACGTTACCGCGAATGAGTGGTACACCGCTTAAATTGTTGTAACCTCGAGATTGTAAAGAGATAGGCAACTTGAAGAATAATAAATGGGTGATAAC